CTTGTTGGAGTCAAGATGCCTCAGTTTTGTTAATATTTCGTTCTCAGTGAGTACGATTTTAGTGAGAAGACTATTTGTTTGACTACAATAATCGGATATACCCGATCCACGACTATGATCTTCGAATACTGATGCAAAAAATTCTGAAAACAGATCGCAGATTTCCTTATAATAACTTATTTATCAGTGGTAGAGCCACGCGGCAGTTTTGCTGTTGCACGTATGGGCCGGCTCAAACCGGGGTGGTACCACGACCTTACAGAATACCGGCGTGAAGTGGAAGCTCTGCTCCCGCGTTTCGTCTGGTGAGTACAGGTAGCCGGAGGCCCAAATTCCCCCCCCCCATCAACATGGTAGCAGAATTAAATGATGATAGACTACCCTAGGAGGGTACCAGCACCCCTGGAGAATCCCTCGCTGAGCATCCACGACTATGTTTATCCACTTCTGAGCGTGGGTGCTCAGGCTGCCCCGCGTATTCTGGGGGGGGGAAAATCCCTAGATACAACTTGGGGAGGCAAGGCGACCCCTACCACGCTATCCGTGAATTTCTGCAATATCAGGGGACTTCACTCTAACCTAAACGCCGTCCACTACCATCTCGAGACGGCGAGGCCGGCTCTGCTCTTTTTGACCGAGACGCAGGTGTCCTTTCCGGCTGATGTCTCGTATCTCTCCTACCCGGGGTACAAACTGGAACACTCCTTTGTGCCTCGGACTGGAGTTTGCTTTGACGTCAGAGAGGACATCTGGTCTCGACGCCTCGGCAGACTTGAAGGTTCGGACCTGCCCGTCCTTTGGCTACGCGTAGACAGCGACGACCATCCGCGCGTCTACGGGTGCCTCTATAGGTCCCATAGCGGTAATGCCGAAACAGACCGACTCTTCGACCACGTCCAAATGGCTACAGATTCGTTGCTAAGAGCCCCTCCGCAGAGATCGTGATCCTCGGGACTTTAACACCCATCACGCCGAATGGCTTGGTTCACGTTTAACCGATCATGCGGGGAGATCTGTTCATGATTTTGCTTTTTGTTCCGCCTGATGCCGCCGACCATCCCGCGGTGTGAGTGCTCCATGCCGGAAGTGCAGTTCACACAGCGCTCGGTTCGCAAAGCACTCCTCTCCCTGGACATCCACAAGTCGAGTGGGCCCTCCCAATTGTGCTGAGGACGTGTGCTCCAGAGTTGGCACCGGTTTTAACGCGTCTTTTCCGGTAATCCTACTCCCTAGGCGTAGTCCCAAAATCATGGAAGACGGCTTTCGTCCACCCGATCCCTAAAAAAGGTGACCGCTCAGACCCGTCCAACTACCGGCCTATCGCCATCACCTCCTTGTTCTCCAAAACAATGGAGCCCATTGTAAACTGCCAGCTCATGAGGTACCTTGAGGATCGCCAGCTGCTTAGTGACCGCCAATACGGTTTTCGCCGTGGTCGGTCAGCTGGTGATCTTCTGGTCTACCTAACTCACAGATGGGCGGAGGCAGTAGAGTCCAAGGGGGGAGGCATTGGCCGTTAGTTTGGACATTGCGAAGGCCTTCGATCGGGTTTGGCACAAAGCGTTTCTTTCGAAGCTCCCTTCCTATGGGCTTCCCGAGAAATTGTGCGATTGGATCACCAGCTTTCTTGCAGATCGGAGCACCAAGGTCGTTGTAGACGGTGCAAGCTCCGATTACAAGGCCATTAATGCTGGTGTTCCACAAGGCTGCGTGCTATCGCCAACGCTGTTTCTTCTGCATATCAATGATATGTTGCAAACCCGCAACATTCATTGCTATGCAGATGATAGCACTAGTGATGCTCTTTACACCGGCCGAGCCAATATTTCTCGGGAAAACGTCTCCGAGTGCCGGGACAAACTTTTGTCTGAAGTCGAGTCTCTGCTGAACAGAGTCTTGGAATGGGGGCGACTAAATCTAGTCCAGTTTTACCCCCAGAAGACACAAGTTTGCACGTTAACCGCTAAAAAGACCCCCTTTTTCAGTTTTCTCCTCAGTTTCAAGGCACTCCCCCTTGTTGCCTCAGCCAGTATCGGAATCCTCGGCGTCGACATATCGAGTGACGTGCAGTTTCGTGGTCACTTGGAAGCGAAGGCCAAATTGGCCTGTAAAAAGCTTGGCGTGCTCAGCAGAGCGGGACAGTATTTCATGCCGGGACACCGCCTGCAACTTTACAAGGCGCAGGTTCGGCCGCACATGGAATACTGTTCCCATCTCTGGGCTGGGGCTCCCCAGTACCAGCTCCTTCCACTTGACCGCATCCAGCGCAGAGCGGCTCGAATCGTCGACGGACCGAGTGCTTTCCAATCGGCTCGATTTACTGGCACTGCGAATAGATGTTGCATCTCTTTGGATTTTCTTTCGCATATACCATGGAGAGTGCTCTGAGGAATTGTTCGGATTAATCCCAGCCGCCAAATTTCGTTAACGCACTACCCGGCAAACGTCCCGATACCATCCACACCATCTGGATCCTTGGCGGTCCACCACTGTACGTTTCAAAAGGAGTTTTCTTCCGCGTACAACCTCTCTGTGGAATAGTTTACCACCGGCGATTTTTCCGGACCGATACGACCTGGGGACCTTCAAGAAAAGAGCTTACTGCTTTCTAAAGGGCCGGCAACGCACCTGCAATTCCCCTGGTGTTGCGGTTGATCATGGGCGGCGGTAGTTACTTAACATCAGGTGAGCCGCATGCTCGTTTGCCCCCTCTTCTATAAAAAAAATTACAATTATTTTTCTAGTGAAAATTTCCTTCTTTTTTTTTCGTTTGCATTTTTCTTATACTGAGTCCATAAAATATTTCTATATTTCATTTATTATTGATTTATTTATCCAGTATAGCGAATTTTGTCGCGATGTGCAATGGTGAAATTGTGCGGCTGGAATTAGTCTGAACAATTCCTCATAGCACCCCCGTGGTAAATGCGATAAATTACGCAAGGAGATGCAACATCTCTTTGCAGTGCCAGTGAGTCAAGCCGATCGGAAAAAGTTAAGGAGCCCCAGCCCAGAGATGGGAACAGAATTCCATTTGCAGCCGAAGCTGCGCCCTGTAAAGTTGCAAGAGGTGTGCCGGCATGAAATACTGTCTCGCTCTGCTGAGCAAACCAAGCTATCTAGAGGCCAATTTGGCCTTCTCTTCCCGTGACCACGATATTGCACATCCTTCAATGTCTACGCCGAGGATTCTAATAATGGCTGGGGCAACTAGGGGAGTGCTTTGAAACTGAGGAGATACGATAAAGGGATTCTTTTAGCAGTAAACGCGTAAACTTGTGTCTTCTAGGGATTGAATTGGACTCGATTTAGTCGCTCCCAATCCGAGACTTTGTTGAACAATGTCTCGACTTCAGAAATAAGTTTGTCCCGGTACTCGGTGACATTTTCCCGAGAAATATTGGCACGGCCGGTGTATTAAGCATCACCAGTGCTGTCGAATAAAGAGTTAGTCGTGTAGCCATGCTAGCGCGACGTGTCTTGCGTCTGCGATGAGCGGGAAAAATATCAATAAAGACCGATTTACACTTTGACAAGTACAGTAGCGAGTAAACTAGCGAACCTGGCGAGTTAAGTTTTAACCTCGTTTGAACGTCAATAAGCGAGTCAAGTAACAAGTTGACGATTAAGTTGAACGGGATGGCCGGCCGAGCTATTTTTCGGCGAGTTAAGTGCGAAGTGCTGCCCTCCCGCGCGTCTCCCGCCACCCGTAACTAAACTCGCCATTCGTGTAAACGAGCGAGTTTAGTTCAGTGCATAAGTTGACAGGACGCAATGTTTGCGCGCCAAAACGTACAATTGTACTTTTATAATTAAACTCGCCACAAAGTTTGTGCGATACTGTTTATTGAATATTTATGCGTTTTATATTGAGTTTTAATAATAAAATGGACGGAAGATATCACATATAAATTTGTACAGGAGTATTTAGTACACGAATGTTTACAAAATAGTAGAAGTTCAAATTGCAAAATTAAACCTGCTCGAGATGCTGCACTCATGAAAATTCTTAAAAACTTCTTTAACAACAACCATTAATACTTCTCTGACATCTCATTTAATTCTTGACGTAATCCTAGAACCATCTTAAAAGGAACCACAAAAATTCCGTAGTCTTGAAACGTCATACTCCAACGAACTCTATGAACTAATGTTCTTAACTAAACTCGCCACGAAGACATTGATTCAACGCTACTGCCCACTTAACCGTTTACCGTCAACTGCCTTGTAACTAAACTCGCTACTGTACTTGTCGAAGTGTAAATCGATCTTAAGAGATGAATGGGAGGTGCCACGCTGGCGCGCCCGGCGTTATCGTCAGACGAACGCGACCAGCGGAGGACATAGTACGTGTTCGCGTACGTTTACGTTTTAATAAAATCGTGTTGATTTTTCCGCGACGTTAAACATAAATATGGAGACGTTTATTAGCGAAATAATGTCTCGGTCTGCAATATGGTCTAGTAAGCATGAAAACTATAAGCATAATATTATACTTTTCAAAACTTTTGTAGGTATTGACGTATTTCATCATACGATATAGTCTACGATATTCACCAAACTGATGCCTGTTTTATTTTAAATCATGAACTCCTATTTTAATTTGCGTGATATATTTTGTGCAAAAAAAATTACTCCCTTCTAGACATGAAAGTGCCAATTTAGAAAACCTCATTTTACAACCCACACAAACATAGCAGGAAGAAACCATGTCACGCAGCCGCCTCAACATGGCGTACTACAGCGGCATGGTGCAGCGTCTTCACTTCTCCCGCCTCCCGCAGGTTATCTCGGCACCCCGCAGTCGCTCTAGCGTGGCCAACGCCTATGTCATGCAGCCGCCTCAACGTGGCATACTACAGTGTCAAGGCGCAGCGTCTTCACTCCTTCAGCCTCCGCTCCCCGCAGTCGCTTCAGCGTGACCAATGCGTTAGACTTCACGTACGTTTTCGTACGTATCTATGCGTGTACAAGCACGTTGCCTGTGCGTGTGTACGTACCCATGCGCGGCGCGCGCGGTAACGTCGGCGCCGGCGTCGAGCAGAGCACGCGCGGCCGCCAGGTGCGCGTGGTGCGCGGCGGCGTGCAGCGGCGTGTAGCCGTCGCGAGTGCGCGCGCCGCAGCGCCCGCCCGCCGCCAGCAGCGCGCGCAGCACTGACGTGCGTCCCTCCGCCGCCGCCAGGTGCACCGGGGTCAAACCTGCGTACAATATACTTTACTTCAAACACTTCTTTGAATACTACTAGACCGATAATTAAAAAAAATTGTGTAACAGCTGTAGATCACACGGCGCAGTGGGTAACTGACACGGTGAATATTCCACGCTGTTGTATTTTCATAAAATCAATACAGTTTATGTTTTCAGACAAATTCAAAAGGAAAAGTTATGTACTTATCTAAAATAAACTTCAAATCACGTTGACTATTTACGTGCGTACTTGCACATAAATAATGTCAGCGTTTTAGTAACATTAAATAAAATTTGTGTTAAATAGTCGAAAACAATATTCGCGGTTTACAAAACACAGAACTAAGTTTCTCGTCCGCTTGCAGTGCACCAAAAGAGCTAAGGAGAATTGACCGTAACTTAATGCACAATATGTTAAGGCCGCAGAGCCCGTCTACCAGTATACATAGAAGTCTTTGATAAAACTCCACAGAAGGTGTTTTTCTTTTATAGAATAAGATTGATTAAAGAGCAGCCTAGTCCACCTAATGGTAAGTGGATGCTGTAGCCTAAATTCCCACTATCCATATTTAGAAGTCTAAATGTAAATGCGTTGTCACTCCTGAGGACTATGATATAATGCCTCGAAACCAGTTAAAAGGGTCTCCGGTTCTTAACATTTACCTTACGAAACACAACTGAACTGAGGTGAATTAGGCTGTTATTTTCCTCTAGTATTCTGTAAGAGTGGTCAAACCGCGGTAAGGCCGACCCATTTATGCTACAATCATAATATAGTAGTAACATCACTCTACCATGCAAAAAACTGTAAAATATCCACTTACCATCGAATAAAAGTAAATAAGTATTAAGTATATATGTTTTATGCATTAGCCGATTCAGCTCTGACTTACGGACTAATTGCATATGGCAGTACTTTTTAAACATATACTGATAAAATTCTTAATTTATTTTTTGTTTTGTTGTACTTAATTGCAATAGATTATTTAATTAGTTTAAAATAGTTCAAGCATTTAGCAAAAATATTAGAATTACTTCTCGAAATACAAACGTTGAACGTAGATTGAAATAATACTAGTTTTTACGGATTTTATCGCGTATCTTTAACTATAAATACCTGAAATTACCATAGAGTTAATAGTTATTACGCCAAGAGGACGAGAAAACATGTATGTGTAGTAGTACCACGTATTTTTAATGACTTATTTTCTGAATTGTTTATACAAATTTATAATAGAAGGGGAGCCCAAGAGGATATTTTTGGGATTTAGATTTTAGATTAAGAGGTGGATTAATTACTAGTTAAAACGAGTGCATTTAGAAAAGCTGACGATTTGAGTGTAACGTGAGGGAACGTGAGGGTTACAAAGTTGCAAAAAAAAAATGTCTTGCAATTCTCGTGCGTTGTAGATCTTTTGTTTTGAATTTTTATTTTGAAATTTTGTAGGCAAGAACGATTTTATCGTAAATGAAAAATATCGTAATATATCATTAAGTTATGCTGGGAAATGTGAAATGGCTGTGTTTTACTGTGTGGTCGGAAGTCAAGTCCGCATGCCAAGCAATACTTTCACGACCAATTCAGAAGAAAAATCGCTTTATTGTCACAGAAAATTGTTGTTCTCTCGAGAATATTTCTGATCTCATCACTTCTTCAGGCTAAATTTATTCAAGGACTTAGCATCGATTGTCCAGTTTGTGTGTAGTTTTAAATTATTCATATAATTAAAAACACTAAGCAGCATCAAATATGCGAGACGTCTTGTACTTCGATCACCAATACGTATGCCAAGGGTGCTGATTATAGTAAAACCTCTCTACAACTGGACAGTCTATGTCCAGCAGCTGATTGGCGGTTGAAGATTCAAATCAGGAAAATATTATAATCAATTCGCTTTGTCCCTTTACATAATTATTTCTTGTTTGATGAGCCACAGCAGTCCACTGTCAGGTGGATAATTAACTTATATGTATTCAAATAAAATAAGACCCTTTATTAGCTATATTAGTAGTATAGTTGTAGCACGAATAGGTCGGCTCGACCGGGGAAGAACACGAGCGTAAAATAGCAGCTTTAAGCTGCTGCTTGCATTACACCTTAGTCCTCACGGGTGACAACGCATTTGCATTTTGTTTCATCATCTCATTAGAAATGTAGATGTCTATGGGCCACAGCAACCACTTACCATCAAGTGGTAGAGCCATGCTGCAGTTATATTAGTAGTATAGTTGTAGCACGAATGGGTCGGCTCGACCGGGGAAGAACACGGGCGTAAAATAGCAGCTTTAAGCTGCTGTGTGTCTTAGTCTCACGGGTGAATTGCATTTGTTCATCTTTGAAATGTAGATTATGGGCGAACCACTTACATAAGTGGTAGACCATGCTGAGTTATATTAGTAGTATAGTTGTAGACGAAGCGGCTCCGGGGAAGAACACGGGTGTTTAAGTGTGTGCATTCCACCTATACGGGAACGATCTGCATTTTGTTTCGTAATCGATCAGAATGGATGTTGATGTCTATGGGCCACAGCAACCACTTACCATCAGTTGGACTGTGTGCTCGCTTGTCATCTTTATCTCATAAAAACATGTTTTAATATATGTCTAATAAGAGAGCAAATTATGCAGAACTTACCGTTATTAGCAGGAACATTGACATCAGCCCCTCTTTCTATGAGCATTTCAACACAATCTTCATGTCCTTCCTGTGCCGCCATGTGCAGAGGAGTAAACCCTGCCTTTGATTTTACACCCGGATCTGCGTCTGCAAAGAAAATGTTTCGTTTGAAACTATTCCGAATAACAATGATATTATATAATAAATTTTTCTATAATTAATTTAATGTCTGCTGAAGATTTTAATTCAAAACATAACAACTTATAAGAATTTGTAACAGGATACAGCTCCAGATTAGTAGACATATAGCTCGAAAAACCGAAAACCTATCGGGAAGAAAGGTTTTCGAATGAGGGCCTCGTACCGATAATTGAAATGTAGGGCCCCCTACCAGATGGAGTGAAGACCTATTAAGGTATGCAGGAAGTCGATGGATACAGGCTCAGGACCGCGCTTTGTGGCTTTCCTATGCCTCCCGCCATGTACAGGAGGGGACTTGTTAAGGGCTTTAATAATGATGACGATGGTACTGCTCCGTATGCAACGAGATTCTTAGATACTTTTTTTGGTAATGAACTAGGCATTTTATCTGACTACTTATATTGCATATTGATTCTTACTCGTGGATAGACGGAGATGTTTATGGATCACAGTTCGCGCTTACAATCAGGTGGAATGTGTATATAAGGTTTATTACTTCGCTGTTGATCGAAAACGACATCATTTTTATGGTAGCTTCTGTACATACGGTGTCTGCTGAATGAAATATACATAATTCTTGTGCCATAATACTCATTAATAATTAACACTTTTGAAAAATTTTGAAAACCAAATCTGAATATTGTAAGATTGATTAATTTCGAATATCTATAAAAAGTCAAGGAGGTTTTCTAACCTTTATTGTGTTATAATAATGAAAGTATATTTACCATGTTCGAGTAAAGCAAATGCTATATCAGGGTGATTATGCCGGCAAGCAATGTGCAAAGCTGAGTGACCATTCTTCGCCAGGGAATGGGGAGATGCTCCTATATGTGGAAAAAATATGGAAATAATTACAAGGAAAAAAGGGCAATCATTATTATTTAATAATACAATTGAAAAATATCACTGATTTGCAGTATACTCAATGATTTCCAATAAAGTGCGAAAGGTGATTGTAAACTTAACATCAGAACTTTTAGAAAAATTTGTTGGTAATAAAAAAAAAAGGTATTAATTTAATTGTAGGAAGTAAATAACAAAAACTATAAAAAAGCAAACACGCACCTTTATCAAGCAACAATAACGCAATATCTGGATGTCCGTAATATGTGGCCATGTGCAATGGAGTAATGTGGCTTTTCCCTGGTGCGTCAGGCTGTGCCCCTCTGGCTAGAAGTAATCGCGCGACACCAATATCACCATACTTTGCCGCTAGATGTAATGGCGTGAATCCTTTGCGGGTTTCTGCTTCAATGGGTGCATTATGGTCAAGGAGGATGCCAGCTACTTCTTCTTTGCCTGTTGATAATACAAGCTATTTTAATATAGATCTTAATAATAATGTCCTCCAGACCGAATTTCGGTCACGGCGGCCTGCCTCAATAGAGGCTAGCCATCGGCTCAGGACAGAATTATAGTGCCCAAGTGTATGCGCAAGCACAGGTGCACTCTCTATTCCCTCACTCTCATAATCCGATGGGACGGTAAACCGACACGACCGGAGAGAGATCAGGCGCAGGACCAACGGCTTTACGTGCTTCCCGAGGCACGGGGGTGAGACACCGCCAACTTCCTGACACCGGGCAACTACTGAGAATTTCTTGACGGAAGAACTCAATAATTAATTTTTGGGCCCTACCCGGGATTCGAACCCAGGACCTCATGATCAGTAGTACTACAACCATCAGACCAACAAGGCAGTAAATATAATATAGATCTTACTACATCCTTTTATTACATAACTTAGCTTTATATTATTATGATAATGTAAGCGCTTAAATAGTAAACTATGCTCGGCTCGAAGGACCATAATATTTGTAATAATAGTATAAGAATAGACTTACTTATTAAAGCTTTTTTGCTACTTTTTCTCATTTTCATAAATAAATGTTGATTTTACCCTCTTTAGCAGCTATGTGTAATGGCGTGTAGTGGTCTTTAGTGGCAGCCGCGACATCGGCTCCGTGTTGCAACAGCAACGCGGCGATGTCGGCGTGGCCAAGCCGAGAGGCTACGTGAAGAGGGGTTTGTTCTTCGCGAGCTCGCGCTTCAACCTAAAATAATTAAAGCATCATTGATACATATTTACTGTTCTTTCTGATAAAAAACATATATGTTGATTAAAACTACTTTTACGGATTTTATCGCGTTTAATTTTAATTATTTTTATTTTTAATTCTCGACATTTCGGGTGCTTTCCAGCACCCATGGTCACACGGGGGACTGAGGTGACTGACGTCCCGATGTCATTGTTAAACCCGGAGTGCCTTCAGCTTTTTTAATTATTGTTTATGATCCGATCTATGCAAAATTAACTATGTCTTGAGGTCTTGCAGTGGTATGCTTGGGTTTAGTTTTAATTTTATTGATTATAGGGTCCCAAGCAGGTGGTAAATACTCAGCCTCCTTCTCTATTGAAATTAGGATGTTTTTTAATTTCAATAGCCTCACGTATCGTCCTTGGTAGGAATCGGTGTTCCTTCGCGAGGATTTGTGGTCTATCAAATCTGATGTAATGGTTGGGGCCGTCTAGGATATGATCACAAACTGCAGACTTCCCGGAATGTGATACTTCCCGGATGTGAAGCATCTACGTTAATCAATGTGTAGTGTTCGCGTAAATATAAGAAACCATTAAACATATATGTGTTTATAATTATTAAAAATAGTAATAAAAATGTAATATTAATGATTCGTCATATAATACCCTGAAACATCGGTGGCGCTATCGTCCGAACTTTTCTCTTTTATGACAACATGCATCCCGAATGTTTCCAAAACCAATAAGTACTCGTCTAGCTGGTGACGAGGCATTCTATTTTAGTCCATTTTAATTAATAGTCGATGACAGATGTAGTAGATGAAAGTAACATTAGGCGGACTCTATGCTAATATTTACGAAAATAGCTGAATACATGTTAACTCCTAAAGAATCATGCCCACTTTCCATACATTGATTGACCTGTCACTTGATTATTTAACAGGTCGCGTCTACCTACAACTACTGTTGTATAAAAACAATTATTGTTTATAATAACATAATAACTAATCATCTAACATCATAACGTATCATCTTTTCATTTAGAGGCCAGGGAAAAATGCTATTAAGTAATGGCTTTATTTCAAAATTCAATTATGCGATACGAAATAAGAAAAAATATGCAATTTTATAAGATATTTTATATCACTAGACGCGTTAAAAAATTTCAGGTCAAAACTGGACATGATTCTTTAAGATGTCGTTTGCAAGTGTATCTTGATCTTCATCATTAATCTTTAGTAGTCAGCCTATCGATAGTTTACTGCTGAACAAAGGCCTCCCCGTAGATTGCCTCATATTTGCCAAAGTTACCACACATTTACCGTATATTTGCCTTAGTGAAGGGTAAATAAGAGTGGTTATAGGTTGTAAATAAGTTCTAGTGGGCGTGGTAATGACTGCTGTGTTTGTGTGCCAATTACGTTTTTAGTATGAGCCGCTGTCATAGAATACTATAATACACAATAGAATGGCTGTCAATCTTATTTTGTAAGAGGGTCGGCGTCGCTGGGAGCACACATACAAGCAATTACGTCATATTAACTACAAACTCGATTAGCTATGTTGACAGACTGAGTAAATTTACACATTTTAGACTTTTGATTAATGTTCCAGATCATCAATAAAAAAATCGTTTAAATTTTAATACATATTTATTTGTTAATAGTGTGCAATTTGGCATTTTCTAAATAATTTGCATGCGAAATTTGAAAACGATTGTAACGTCAAACATCTCGTGTTGATAGTTATTAGTATGTGTGAATTGACATGTTAGTGACATTTTAGTGGCTACACGGGCTCCGCCCACTCCCCCGTTCTATTATGTACGTATTGTAGTATTCTATGGCCACCGTAGTGGGCCTATACCCATAAGGTGATTTTCCCATAGTTGGCGACGCGAGATAAATCATCTCATTAAATCTTTTCATGTTTCTTGTATATTAAATGTCGAAAATAATTAATCTTATTAAATTCTAATTTCTGAGTAGAAAAGAGTAAAGGAACGTTAAACGTTAAACGTCATGCATACATAGTATTCAGCTACGTAATACAATATTATTAGATAATTAAAAATATTTATGGCTTTTAAGCACTGTGTTTGTTTACATTACGATTTAATTAAAGATAAGACATTCCAATCTGTTAGACAGAGAGAGTATTAAACTGTGTAGAGTGTATGAACAGGACAAGTATAAATGTTAGAGAGGGATGGCGAGAACCTCTTATATAATGCCAAGGGTCGCGCAGGGCTTGATGCGGCGACTTCTTAGGGTAATTAATAGAGTTAAAGGTCAAGTGTGAACCGTTTATAAGAATATTAAAATAATAAGATATTGATTAATTATATGTTTTGTCTTTTTAAAGCTTTCTAAAATTAATGTAATAGCTACTTGTAATTTTTTTAGCTAGATATTAAAAGTGCAAATACAGTTGTGATGCAAAATATGGAAATGTGATAATAGAAATTACGCGCGGAATAAAAGTTTTTTTCCGCGCCTGGCTCACTTTAAGGTTTAGCTTGGTAGTACTTAAGAAAATAGATTAATTTGCAATTTGTTTTTTCGTAGTCTTAACCGACTACGAAAAATTTTACCAACTACGGACTAATTCCGAAAAATGATTAACAACGCCTAAATAAGGCTCCCAGGACCGGCCCATATTAGTGGGCCGCGAGGATAATCCGGGTAATGGGGGCACACCCCGAGGCCCGAGACCTTCAGGACCTAAGCAGTTCTCGCAGATGACAACACTGAGCTGCAATTGTAAAGGAAAAGGTACGTTCTAAGTTAGGTACAATCAAGAAAGAAAAACGAACTAGTGAAAAGTAAAGTAAAAGTAAAGTGAAAGTAGTTATCACATTTCCCAGGAGCAGTTAGAGTAGTTGCTGTTTTATTTTACCAGTCGACCCTATTAGAAGGGAATTGAAGAAAATATATAAGAAGATAAGAAGAAAGAGAGCGGTTTGTGTTTCTGAGTTACACGTCTTATCACACACCCAACGAGGTGAGGTATAGGAAAGGCGGCCAGTACTTGGTAGATCACTGTTAGGGCGGGAAATGAAGAACTCGGCGCTCGTTTTCAACCATACTTGAAATTCATTAATCTAATAAAAAAAGGAAATATAGGGTTTTGCAAAATCATATTAAAATGTTTTATTGAAAAAGCTTATATTTTGCAATCTCTGATGACTTTTATGAGTATACAGGGTGTTAGTGTAAACACCGTTATCCTTGAAACCAGTGGTTTGGTTTCACTTATAGAACGTAAACTGGTTTCAAAAATAACGGTGTTTACACTAACAACCTGTATATAATGATTTAAATTTTTGTTATCTGGCAACACTACACGAATGATACCTTGGCATTGTTGCGCAGCAGCACGCGCACGAGGTCCGTCTGGTGCGCGCGCGCGGCTAGGTGCAGCGGAGTCTCGCCGCGCGCGGTGGCCGCGTCCGCGTCCGCGCCCGCGCCCACCAGCACAAGCGCGATGTTCATGCAGCCCATGAACGCGGCCACGTGCAGCGGCGTCAGCCCGGACTCCGTTGTCGCTGATTTGCCTAAGCAAAACAGACGGATTAGTCACGATTACTTTCTACGATCATTAATGCTATGGAAATCTATAAGAATCAATTAAAATTATTGCTCCCCCACGCCGTGGTGTTTCCTTGACCAGCACTACGTTCTCGTCGATATGAAATTCGGTTTGTTCGCGTATTAAATCATTTTAACGCGAGAAGAGGTTTCGCGGGTCAAAAAACAAAGGAACATTAGAATATTCTAGTTATTTATTTAAATAAATAATAAAATTACTCAAACAAAAAAAGTAAAGTAATTACTTACTCGCACCGTATTTCAACAGCAGTTCCACCACTTTGAGTCTATTTTTCTTGCACGCAATATGCAATGGTGTAAATCCATTTAGAGCACGAGCATTCGCGTCTGCATTTCTGTCCAGCAATAATTTCGCTACCTAAAAAAACATTAAATCACGTTAAACATGAATAATTTTCAAAGTAAAGGCTAAATGAAATAGGTTGTAAAAATAAGTGTTATCTTACTTTGACATGTCCGCAATGTGCAGCTACGTGTAGAGCTGTCAAGTAGTCGACAGTGACGTCATCAATTGGCGCGCCTTCTGAGAGAAGTACTTTAGCCGTCTCCACGTGTTCGCCTTGCACGGACATATGGAGAGGTGTGAGACCGTTCTGTATAAAAATATTGTTCTACTATTATTTACAATTTAAAAAAATGCATTTAAATACTCGGAAACAATGGCTGCGTTTGGCAGAAAAAAGGGTTAGCAAGCGCTTGTAAGCAAAATGGCGAAACTATATAGTTTTCGGCCAGGACATGTTTGCTAACTTCAGTAACGCTGACACAATCCGCCATTTTGCTTATTTAATTTGTTTGTTTTGAAGTAGAGTTTATAAGTTGTTTTGTGGAATACTAGTTTTAAGTAATATAATGACATCAATAAACATATACATGTTATTAAAAATTCATGATTGGTAAGTTTTTAGTATGAATACTTTACAAACATATATTTAAATTAGGTTAGGTTCCCCGATTACAACTAACTTCGTGAGAGGAAAATAGCTACTTGCGATTTGACAGCGCTTACCGCTTACGATCGCCATTTTGCTTACAAGCGCTTGCTAGCGCTTTTTTCTGCCAAAAGCAGCCAATAGCTTTTGATTACAATGAACACTATAGCGTTTAACCTGCAGGAAATGTTGTGACTACGTATAAACTGTAGTGGTTTATACCACCATTTTTCGGAAGCAATACGGGTTTTCCCACTAAATGTCTCCCACGGGACAAAAATGGATGATAGATTATCTTTTCTCTGGTCATTTTAGCCATGTGTGGTAATAAATTACCTTAGTTTTACTAGTGATGGGCGCGCCATGTTGCAACAAACGTGATACGACGTTGCTGTGACCAGAGCGCGCGGCGCAGTGGAGCGGCGTCAGGCCGTCCCGAGTCACGGCTGCGATGTTAGCACCTAAAATAGACAGAAACGAGATAAATATTATAGAGGTTTGCTTACGCGAAATTAACACCTAAAATAACAAAAAAACAAGAGCTTTTCAGAATAAAATGCGCGTAGGCTAAGAATAGGGATGTCAAACTGACATTTCGTTTCGCATTGCGTTGCAACTTCAAGCGTGTTGTATATCAACTTAAAATTAATCTATATAACATTTTTGTCATGGTAATTCTGGGGTAAGTGTTCGCCGTAAATTTCACTGTACATGAGCAAGCCAGGTTATTTCAGAAAATGGTAATTGCATTTTTAGGGTTTGATTTACTACGAGCTCGGCGGTGCTGAAAAGCATTGTGAGGAACTCAGAATCTCTGAGGAATAAAAATATTTCGAAGACATGCCGAGTCCAGCAACAGGCATTGACCCTCTCAGAAACAAGAGAAGCCTAGGGCCCAGTGATCCAGTCTCTTCTTTATTTATATAATTTTGGTTGCAGATGTCCATGGTCTACAGTAGCCACTTACCATCAGGTAGACTAAGTTCGTTTGTCACTTTAGTCTTTTAAAAAAAAAACATGCTTGCAGCTCACACGCGACAGAAGTGAAACCATAAAATACATTACATGTATTTGTATTTTATATTTCATTTTATTTGAATAAAATGAAATATAAAATACAAATACTTTACGGCAAATGATTTATTTAACATTGTAATTTAAACTACAAATTCGGTTTAAAATATAAGAAAATTTTATTTTATGGTAAATAAATATAACAACCCTTTTATTATATAAGTATATATATATATATATATATATATATATACTTATATAATAAATATATATATATATATTATATATAATATGTAATATATAATATATAATATATTACCATATATATATATATATATATATATATATATATATATATATATATATATATATATATATATATATATATATTAGACACAGACATTATATTACTCTTTTCGATATACCTTTTAAAGTACTTACTAATTACAAAAAGATTTATATTAATTTTACCTTTTACGAAGTTGAGGTTTATACAAACTACACGGCATACCAATTGTTATTAACAATACCGGTACTATACATGACGTTATGGATGACCTCCACGTCCCACCTTTCTGCTATGTTAGACTATTTCAATCTGTATTCAGCTCTAGCGATAGTATTCGAACACAACACTACATTATATTATTTTAAATCGGTACAATTTTATACAAAGTCAAACTGAAGTGCTTATATTAGTTTGCCACTTATTCTAGGATTTTCATTACACGATCTAAAACATCAAGCGAGTGCTAACACCATAATTGAAAGTAAAACCCACCATTTTCAACGAGCAAATCGACCATAGCCAGCTGTCCCCACTTACTGGCCACATGTAAGGGGGTAATATTGTGTTTGGCCGCTCTACCGGAGTCCGCGCCAGCAGACAAAAGCGCCTTAGCAACGCCCACATTGCCGTAGTGCGCCGCTATGTGTAGTGGAGTGAATCCTGACTTGGAGCAAGCGTCCGGGTTGTGTTCGTTCTGTAAATTCAAATTTTTATCAACAGCAAGCTATAACTTCACTAACTACAACTAACAACAAGCTCACTTATATGGATAACGTTTACTTTTAAGAATGTTCTAGTGCATGCTCTAGGTGGTAAATCCTTCTTATGTTCAACAGTGGATTGCCGCAGACTTATTGTGATGATGATGAAGTAATCATCTAATTTTCGATTAAATTATGAAAAAAATACTAAAGTCCGTTTTTTATTTAGTCCATACAGTAGAGCCAATGATTTGGCTTGTAGGTTAAATTGAACAAGCGAATCGAATTCTGCAAGACAATAAAATAAAATATGCTCATGGACTGTTTGTGCAACATACATAATATATATAATAACTATTTATATTTTTTGTTAAATATTACATTTGGCGATGTATAAATTAGTCACTTAAAATCCTACAATGTTAATGTTAGAAAAAAAAAACATGTGGCACTCGGGCACTGCCGCGGTAAAGCTATTGCATAGCATTTTTATCAACTTATGCAATTATAATTATTTATTTATTTTATTTATGCAGTATTTTTTCTCTTTTATAATATTAATTCAAGTTTTTTCTTTGATATTAATTCAAGTTACACTTTTTGAGCGTGGTGACCGCTAAGAAAACAATTTTTTTTTTCTTTTATTGAATAAATGAGAAGTTAAAATTGTTTAAAATATTTTTATTATCTTACAATACATGTAGGTTATTCAGGAATTTTTATCATTGAAACTATATGTTTATGGTAATTAACGAGTTCTTCAGACAAACGATAATTTTCTATAAAGTCTGTGTTTATTAAATACTCTAAATTCACGAAAGTTGCTAGCATGACGAAGACTCATATAAATCCAAAGAATATGCTTCTTGCAATAAACCATTGACTTATATATTACTAGCTTAAGGACCAGGCCGACCGAACAACTAAAACGGACCAGTGCGCTGGCCAGCGCAAATCGGTCGACAGTGGTGCGCGCGCAGGACAGATTTGCCTATCACAAATATGTCTAGTTGCGTGGTAAAAGAATGCATAAATTCCGATACAAAAGATTAAAAAAAAACATGGGATACCATATCATCGGTAAATAATCTTATACTTATATTAATTTTGTTACAATTAAATTATTATATTAACGCATTTTTAAAGTCTTATTTTACAGTTAGTTTAGTTACGTTACCAAGATTAGGCCAGGGTTGGATTCAGACCCTCAAAAATATTGTACATGGGAAATAAAATTATACTATTTAAAAAAATTATATCACGTTTGACGCCTCATGTTTCTTTTTTCCCACGTGCCGGAATTTTGACGTCACACATCTAGTTTATCTATACGTTTCATTTTTTGACGATTTTATTTTTATTTCTGTTTAAATTTTATCTAAAGATTTTTGTGTAAATTAAATTTTGAATATTGGTACCCAATATATTGCATATTCAATAAGGGTAAAACGAAAAGAGTACAAAAGAAACCATATCTGCTTAATTGAATCTGAAAATCTGATCCATAAAATATTTTGAAATTCTGTTTTCAAACCGATTGCTTCTGGAGCATAGAGTTTTTATCGTGGTAGCCCCTCATTATAGTTGTATCAAGGATGCAACATAAATGCATCGATCGAGCATCGATGGACCAGAAAGGGAGGTAATTTTAATTTTATTAAAAAAAACGCGGTTTTCATGTACAATACAAAAATTCTCGATATCGTAGGGTTAATATTAAAATGTAAAAGTACCCAATAATAATACACGTCGACCTTTAGGTAAAATTATGGTATTTTCGCATAGTATTATTACTGAAATCCGACCCTGGTTACGTCGTGTTTTGATATGACGTTTGTATTATGACAGATGCGCTACTTTTTCTTGTATGAAAAAGTTATGAGTAAAATATTTAGATGGGCCTATCCTTCCTTTTGAAATCATTGCAATAAACTATATTATTGTTTAAAATATTTTTATTATCTTACAAGCACGCACACAAACACCGTGCCGAAGTCTGCCGAACTCAAACAACGTTAGACGATGTTAGGTTTATTAAGTAGATTTCTTGATTCGGCCGCCGCGCTCAAAGCCCGCGATAAAAGCTATGCAATAGCTTAAAAATGTTTTTAATGACAGATATATTCTATGGTGTTAATCTTGGGGAATTGCATATATATAACCCGTTTAAAATAAATTGCGTATCGAACCCCCTCAGATCGGATACATTCAGATCATTTGAATCCGAAGGCAAATGATTTTCAAATTCCGTCGATATTTCGAATTCTTGTTCGACACTATCCGAGCCTAACGCCAAATCTTTACATCGAATATAAGATATCACTTTTAAACCATTTATTTTTGTTAAAACCGGTTGCCAGATTTATTCTGCGCTTCGCAAAATAATGCAAAGTAAAGTAAACTAGGCCAGTATTAAGAGACAATCTCGATTCAAACTCAAACTCCAATACGTTAAAAGATGTGAAGCATAGTAAGGCTAAACGCAAATTAGAACAAATAATACGAAAATTAAATGTTGAGGTTGATTTTTAATCAGCGATTTTAATCGTAAAGTAAGAATATAGGTACATAAAAATTCCGATTTAAGTGGTTTAGATCATTAACGTACCTCAAGCAAAAGCATAGCCGCTTTGACGTCGTTCTTCTTTGCAGCGATGTGTAGTGCAGGCAAACGCACTTTGCCTCGGGTGTCGGACTCCAGGAGCTCTGCGACCACACGGTCGTGGCCTTGCTGCATCGCTACGGCCAAGGGAGTGAATCCATCCTGGAAAAAATGTTAAAGCTTTTATTGGTGATGCTACGGATGTTCTTGTAGGTGTTTTAATTATTTTATTTAATTTTACAGAAGAGGGCCATTAGATCAATATATAATTTAAAACCAAAAGAGTCACTGAGACAAAAATTTAAGGAAATTAGTTATTAACTCTGGCCTCTCAACACATTTACGAAAATTTAATTTACGTACACAAGAATAAACGTAGTTTTGCAAAAATAAGTGATATTCATTCTGTAAATACTGGGAGCAGACACAAGCTAGTATTGTACCAGTTATTCGACTCCACCGAGTCAGTAATTCATTCTTGGGGCGATGTATACGCTTACAACAAAATCCCTGAAAATATACAAAATTTGTCATACGCAAAGTTCAAAAATTTTATTAAACTAAGTTTGTATAAAAAGAGTTATTTTAATATTAAGGAATTTATGGATGATAATAACCCCTGGGAAGGGTGATCGCTGCTAAGCTATTTCTAATTTGTCTTGTGTTGTTTATTGTAAACATGATTGTAAGCTATCATTTGAAAAAAAATAGTCCCGCTGGGTTTCTTGTTGGTTCTTCCCAGGAAAGAGGTTTTTTTTTGCGAACCAGTGGTAAATGAAAAATTTGACTTTCAATAAGTATTGTTTATAATCTACATTGAATAAAAAAGTTTCTGTTTCTGTAATTTATCATCGTAACTAAAATTTAATAAAATATAATAGCCGCCTTCAAAAAAGAAGTGAACCTTCTTTTTTGAAGATAAAAAAACATATAGTACAAAACCGAATAGATTTGAAACATTATATTTTTAATTAATAGATTTTACCTTAAGGGCGCTCTCTGTTAAATTTAATGAAAAACATTTTATCGCGTATGTTTATTTCAAATTCCCGACGTTTTTTGTGTAACTGTTAATCTGTGATATTCCTTAGTTCACTCAAAAGGGTAAGAACCGAATTTAAAGAACTTAAAAGCTTAGCTAAGCTTAGCTTAGTTCCTCAAGTTTACTTTATGATATTTAGTTCTTAGAAATAGGTCTTTACTTTTTATTAAATGTTTAGTTTTCCAACAAAACTACTCCATTTCAAAGAATGACAAAAGAATGCCCTAAATGATAAAGCGTAACGTACTATTCGCTTATATTTTGATAAAATCCATGTTGTAATCACTACTTATTTCCAACAAAGAAACACCATTATGCTCGGAACCACTGAGTCTGGTTGTCCACCGGTGAACGGTGAAACATGAATTTTTTTATATGTTACCAGTGCATATCCTCCCAAACCTATACTACAGAATAACGAAAAATATATAGTTAAGATTTAAAATGAAACATGAAATTAAATATCTTTATTTTGTTCGACGTAAGAAATTAAAACTTCGTTTTCCTAATATCATTTTTAATTTACCATCGTTTCAAAACGAGGTTCTTCTGACCAGAGACTATGCAAACAAGTCAGTCAAATAAAATAATAAATACTACAGACCCGTTAGTAACTGGCACGCTTATTGTTCTTTGATAAAACTAGGTATAATAATATATTTTGGAGTATATATTTTATTTAGACAACCCACAAAACTAAAATTATATAGTAAAATTTGTTACAATATATTTATTCTAGCATTAAAAACTAAATGGGGACTGAGGTGACTGACGGTTGAAGTCCCACGTTGCCATGGGTACTGGAAAGCACCCGAAACGTCGGGAATTAAAAATCATATAAATTAAATGCGATAAAATCCGTAAAAGTAGTTTTAGTCAATGTGTAGTGTTCGCGTAAATACAAGAAATCATTGAATGTCGTCTTAACTATGCGAAACCACGGCACGCATCATGGGCGAGCTAATTGTACCTATTATTATGCTTGAAATTCAACCGTATCCAAATTTGTTATCTGTTGGAAACAACAAGGTTTTCATGCATTTGTTTCCTACGACACACACATAATGAGATGAGGTGATGCTATTATACCGTCACCAGTCTTTATTCGTTCGACAGCTGGGCACAGGTCTCCCACATTTCTTAGAGAGTTATGGAGACGGACTTCACACGTCCTCAAAATATTTTACTCGTCAGCTATGTAGGATGCCTATGTTTTCCTTCACCGCTGACATTAAAACAGCCCTCAAAATTGCAATCAACAATATCATTTTTGTGCCGGGTAGCCCTCGCTTACCGTGAAATTTAAGTCGAGGGCTTCGGCAATGAATTACCAGGCTTTCACAATTAATTGTGATTTATAAATGCGTTGTATTAGTAAAATTACATTAAAATGTGGGGAGTATTAAGTCCATCTAGCAAAACATGTTCTTTGAAGTGAACTTACCTCTGTTGCGAGGGTTTGGCTGGCGCCAGCTGCCAGCAGCATTTTGACACAGCCTGCGTGATTCTCCTGCGCCGCCATATACAGAGGGGTGAAACCAGCCGCGGACTGCGCGTCGGCCTTCGCTCCCGCGCCAAGAAGCGCTCGAGCCACATCTTCCTGACCCGCTAAGCATGCTATGTGGAGAGCTGTGTTGCCTAGAATACGGAGAATTCCAAATAAAGCACCGTTATTTCAGATACATGTAATACGTAGGAGGGATTCTGGCAAAAATAACAAATATATTGTATAACAAAAATAGTGACATACATTATGTAAATGGAGTTATTCCTTCATAGGGCAATATATTATGCTTACCCTTTTATGATAATTCAGTCAATTTTTAAAATAAATACTAGCAAATGCCAATAACAGTACTAATATTCCCTTTAACCACTCTTGGTGAGCTTAAGCGCTTGTTAGGTGGTTCACGACAGTAGTCGAATTGCGGATTCGAACCTTGAGTTCGCGTTCTGCACCCTGTCATTAGGCTATTATCGCTCACAACATATTGTTACTGACTTGACACTGATATTGTCATATATTATTTCGTAATTAAATCTTAATGATTTTTTAATTTTAACGCTTAAGATTATGTAATAAAAATATCTGTATACATATAATCGATTACAATAAAATTTATCAGAGCTTTGGTCAAATCAAAATAAATGCTGATAGTCTATTGAATAGGAATAACTTATTCTTCCCGTTATTGTAATAATAGATTCAATTATATCTAGATTTTTAATAAATTTAAAATTTAAAGGTTACATGCAACATTAAAAACTATAATAAAGAAAAACTAAAACTAAACATTTAAAATATCATATAGGTTCAATTACGGAAGAAAGGTAACAGTTAAGATTTATGCTACCTGGTAGATTCTCAAAAAAGTAGTATTCAACAAAGGAAACAAAACCTGGATATAACCTTCCGATAACAAACACTCCATAGGTATAAATTCTTAGTTTTCCTTTCTTTAATATAATTCACTCCATAAAAATTCTTAATTATTCCCATAAAAAGAATAATAAGACTAGTTTCTCAACTCTCGCTAGCTAATAATTAACGGCGTCGTAATTCCTATAACTATTGCAAGTCCAACATTTTTATTGACCTATAAATACATCTTAATAAATCTTTATTCGTACGAACAAAAAGTTTACAATCAATAGTGATAGCAACTTTTTTTTTCAATATATCAGGAAGCTCTTGGTGAACTATAAACTAAACATCATTCGCGAAAGCCACTAATAAATTACGATTAATAATTCACGGATGGCCATAATATTGCTTTGAAAAATACTAGCTGGCCCGTAAGCCGTTTCCAGTAGGCGGCGCGAAGTTTTTTTCCGAATAAATTCCAGACTATTTACAGCATAAATATTAAATTTATAAAGAACTCGACTAATTTTATCGGGTCCAAAATTTGAGACTTTCTACAGAATCTTATCCTAGCATAACTTTGGACAACCGTTTCGAAAAAAAAAATTGTGTGAATATGACCTTAATCGGTCAAGTCTTCGGTCAGAGGTTATACGATCACTAAAATACCAAAAATTACATAATATACTACAAGTATAAAAAGATAAAATTGCAAACCTTTTTTTGTGGCAGCATCTACAGTCGCGCCTCTTTTAAGAAGCTCTTCTACTACAGATATGTGACCATCTTTTGCCGCAAGATGAAGAGCATTAAGGCCGTTCTGTAAAAAATACATATATTTTAATTTATTGAAACCTTTGAGTATTAAACCAAGAAACATTATAACGCCATCAACAGCCCATTATTAAGACTGCGGTAGAGAAAATTTGCGATTGCACTGGGGAAGTGGATTAGCGATTGTGCTTTTCAATCTAGTCGCTTCTCTTCATCATCGTCCTAGATCTTATAGTTTGATAATTATTTCGGTATGGTTGCACTTACATCTGATCGAGACAGCTAGGTTTAGCTGGCAATTTCCTAGTCAAAATTTACTTGAGCTAAGCGGGGTTACAGATTCTACAACGGTGGCACCATATGATAAAGTATAGTTTATGTTTCAAAAAGTAAAAAAATAAAAAAATAAACTTTAATGTCACATTATAAGCGAATAAGTGTGAAACATTGCACTGTCGTCAAAAGCAAAATAAAGCCACAGTTTTAAGACCTTACAGTCGCATGAGTAGATAGAAGGAGCAGACACAAAGCTTCTTAAGAACGTATGTAGCGTGTGGCGGGCCTAAGTTCTTTAAGCTGTGATAAAGCTAAGCAAAAGTACTCTGTGATCTAAGCATAAGTACTCTGTGAGCTAAGCCAAGCTTAATTATTTAAGTAACACAATAGTGAAAATAATAGCTACTGGTATTTTGGTTGCTATTAAATTTCTCCCACTAAACTTGTTAACCGTTTAACCACGTATCGTGCAAGCGACAAGACCACAACAGAATTGAAGTTGTTAATCTATTTTGAACGAGAACTGCGCCGAGCTTTTGTTCAAGTTAACTTTGGAAATACAATTATTGTACGAATATTACATTGTCACGAAAACTGATGGCCAAAGATTTTGATCCAATTAAAACTCTTTGTTATTTTAATTTCACTATAAAATATAATATATCCCTTGCATTTTATGTATTGATTTTATTAATTTTATTAATTTTTGCGGGTGGCTCAGCACCGTGCTGTGTGTCATCCTTTGGGATAGGTCTATGTTCAGCAGTTGACTTGTTAAGGGTTGCGAAATGATGATAATGAATGATTTTATGTAAGTATGTAAATTTTTTGCTTACAGATCTTCTTTACATGCACGATCAAATTTTTTCACCATTCATTTATTCATAATAGTGGACTTTACATCTATGCCGGAAAATAGGGATCCGCGTAGATTGCCACATAGTTACCTCTACGCCATAGTTAGACTGTCCCATTTGACTTGTGGTCGTAGGCACAACTGCTGATCATGACATGGCCCCAGGTTTGAATTCCGAATCAGACCAAAATCAGTTATTGGGTTTTACCGTCAAGTAATATTTAGTCACGCACGGAGTCGGAAAGCTGGAGATGTTTCACCTTCGTATCTCCGCCGAAAGCATTTAGTAGTTATCCGACGCCGTTGGCCCGTTGGTGATGGGCATGATCTCTTATTTGTGGTCATCTCGGATTATCGTCCAATCGGACAGTGAGAGTGAGGGAGGGTTTCTTCACGATGTTTTACTTCACTGTCGAGCACATGGTAAATCAGCACTTACATTGGCAATAACTAATAATATGAATGGTATAGTAGGGTTGCTCACGTAAAGACTTTTTTTGCAGAGATGGGGGGGGGGCTTTGGGCCACGAGACGTGCTATTTGACTTTCAAATCTCTGCTAATAAAGTGTGATGATTTTTGAAAAAAACATTTTATTACGAAGGTTATGTTATAAATAACTGTTCCAATGCAACAACCATGGCCACGAGGGACTTGGGTTTTCTTATTCAATAAAAAAGTACCTATGATGAAACCTATCTTACCGCACCTATCACCGTAACGTAACCTACCGTACCTTGGCCGTGCAGTGGCGGTTGAGAATACCCACTAGGTACCCCATATCTTACCGTACGTGTCGTAAGAGGCGACAGAGGGAGGCAGGCAGGAGATGGGCAGCAGCATCTTGCTGATAACAACAACTATACAATAAAAAAACTGCGGTCGCCAACCCGCTTGCCAAGCGTGGCAAATATCCCCCCATGAGGAACGACACAAATAAACGGCCCCCAGTCCCCGGCGACTCCGCTATTTCTGGCTACGGTGGCGACCATGGTAACGGCGGGGCAGGGGGTGCTAAAAATCTCCGGTGGAGGTTCGGTTGCCACCTACGACGACTCGACCTGGCAACATATAACGCACGCACCCTGAGGACTGACGATAAGATACTGCAGCTGGAAGAAGAGGTAGACAAGTTGGCATATTATAAGATTATCCGAGGTCCAAAGAGAGGGGGGAGGACACGGTAATCCTTGAGTCCGGCAACTTGTTCTATCACCGGGAGGGCGACCATCTGTCCCAAAGAGGTGTCGGATTTATCGTCCACAAGTCTCTCGTCAACAACGTTGTAAAGATTGATAGTGTGTTAACGAGGGTCGCGTATACTGATACTCAGAATCACCGGTATTCCCTGAAGGTCATACAGGTTTACGCAACAACCTCGGCACATCCCGATGAGGAGGTAGAGGAAATCTAGAAGATATCTCTAGAGCCATGCATTGCACAAAAATTGGTGAGCTGAAGTTAGGGAAATTTGGAATAGGGCAACGGAACCCTAGTGGCCGGCAGCTGGCCGACTTTATGGAGAAAAAGGGGCTCTTTATGATGAACTCTTTCTTCCAGAAGCGGCACCACAGCAAGTGGACCTGGTCGAGCCCGACGGTTCGATACGAAATGAGATTGACTTTATTATGACGACCAGACGCCAACTGTTGTCAGTGATGTCTCAGTGATCGCGAGGGTGACAACTGGCAGCGATCACCGAATGGTTAGAGGCACACTGAACCTAAACGTTAAGTTGGAGAGGTCTCGTCTAATGAAGTCAACGCTCCGTCCCATTCGTGCGCTAATCCAGGATCCCGAAAACTTTCAGCTCTAATTACAAAACCGTTTTCAGTGCCTAGAAGACTGCATTACAGTGGACGATATGAATGACAAGCTCGTGGAAACTGTCCATTCGGTCGGAGCTAAGATCTGCAAGACCCGCCGCAGAAGAACACAAAAACTCTCCGATCACACTCTTAATCCCATGGACGTTATACGAGAGATGAAGCTGCAGTCATCAGCAGATTTGAGCAGCATACAGGCCATTGAACAGACAGATTTTCAAATGTATGCGGCAGTACTTACCATAGAATACTATAATACATACATAATAAAACGGGGGAGTGGGCGGAGCCCGTGTAGCCACTAACATGTCAATTCACACCTATATATGTCAACACAATCAATCGTTTTCAATTTTCGTGTTAAGTGTCGCTGCATGCAAATTATTTAAAAAGTGGCAAATTGTGCAATAATTACGTGGTAAAAGAACAGCAGGAAATGGAATTTAAGTAAAGGAGACATATCCTACAAACAGTAAGTCGAAACTATTTATATTTTGTAAATATTAGAAACCAAAATAAAGAAATATTGATGTGTCAAAAACATTAATCAAAAGCCTAAAATATGTAAATTAGCTCAGTATCTCAATACAGCGAATCGGGTTTGTAGTAGTGATAATACGACGTAATCGTTTGTATGTGTGCTCCCAGCGACACCGATCCTCGTACAAAATAAGGTTGATAGCCATTCTATTGTGTATTATAGTATTCTATGGGACTTACGCAACTTCAATACAGCAGTATTTAAGAAGCCATTGAGCGGAACCAGGGCTCCAAAGTCTTTGCCAGAGATCTGTCTGCCAGAAAGATCCAACTGTCAAAGCTGAAGACGGAGAGTGGCAGCATCGTTTCCGGAACACCTGATATTTTGAGCGAGATTGAAAGGTTCTATGGGCACCTGTACACATCATCGTTAAAGCCACACGCAACTGTGGGTAACGATCCAAGAGCATGTCTTATCCGACACTAGTCCGATGATATCTCGGACGTCAGTCTGAGCGAGATTAGAATGGCTCTCCAGCACCTTAAAAACGGCAAGTCCCCGGGCGAGGATGGAATTATAGCGGAGCTTCTCAAAGCGGGTGGAAAACCGGTACTTGAAGTCCTTCGGAGGTTCTTTAATTCCGTTCTCCATGGTGGCACTACTCCGGAGGCGTGGAGCAGAAGTGCGGTGGTCTTGTTCTTCAAGAAAGGTGACAACGCCCTGTTGAAGAACTACAGACGGATATCCCTTCTGAGCCGCGCCTACGTGCTATTTTCAAGAGTCATTACGAATCGTCTCGCACGCAGACTCGACGACTTCCAGCCTCCCGAACAAGCCGATTTCCGAAAAGGCTTTAGTACCATAGACTACATACATACCCTTCGGCAAATTGTACAGAAGTCCGAAGAGTACAATCTGCCACTTTGCCTGGCGTATGTGGACTATGAGAAAGCCTTTGATTCCATCGAAATTTGGGCGGTGCTACAGTCTCTTCAGCGGTGCCAAGTTGACTGTCGGTATATCGAAGTGCTGAAGTGTTTGTACAGTAGGGCTACGATGGCTATCCGAGTACAGAACCAGAGTACGAAACCTATCCAACTGCAGAGAGGTGTAAGCCAAGGTGACGTTATATCCCCGAAACTCTTCACCGCTGCATTGGAAGACGTTTTTAAGGAACTGTACTGGAAAGGATACGGTGTTAATATCAATGGCGAGGACATCACTCACCTTCGATTTGCCGACCGTATATATACTGTCCTTATGGCAGAACCGCTGGAGGACCTAAGCACTATGCTCAATGATCTCAATAGTGCCTCCCAACGGATAGGTCTTAAAATGAACATGGACAAAACAAAGATCATGTCCATGTCACACCTATGCCCGTAGTTGCTGGGAGCACTAAGCTCGAAGTTGTTGATGAGTACGTCTACCTGGGACAAATAGTCCGACTAGGTAAGTCCAACTTCGACCGAGAGGTCAATCGACGAATTCAACTCGGCTGGGCAGCGTTCGGGAAATTAGGACACATCTTCTCATCATATATAACTCAAAACCTGTAAACTAAATTGTACAACCAGAGTGAGCCTATGGAATTAGAGGGAATTGAGG